GATTAATCCATCATTAGTCCAGTCTATGGCATAATCTGAGATAGACCGGTTCCCTTGTTTGATATGCATTAGGGCAGTGGAGGCGTCTTCCTCTCTACCTAATGGTTCAAACGTCAGTTTGAATTCCGCAAGGTTAAGGGCTTACCTTTAAGTTCATCAGATACCCAATCTTCGCTCTATCTGAAGGAAATGAACCAGGTGAGGCCTCAAAGCGGTACTCAATCTGATTGAGAAATCCCCTACATTCCTGGATATTACCAGAAAACTGCGCGGAGGAGATAAGTAGATTATAGGTGCCTTATGTACTATAGGTGGAGGTACATTAGGCAGCGGTGACATAATCGGTGAAGACTCAGGTTGTAAATGAGCCATCCTAGTAAGGAGCATGCTAAAAGCCTGGGCACCCCCAGGCATAAAAGGGGTTAAAAGCTGTTTAGGAGATATTCCCTTCCAGATATAAAGGCAGCTACTGTAGACACCAATCCACCGAACCGGAGAAGCATACGAATGCTCTCAAACATACGAATGCTGTAAACAGCCGAATAGGAAAAACCATACGAATAAGTTTACGCTCCTAGCAGTCGAACTGGAACAGCATACAAGAAGTCCCCCCAAGAACGAGAAAAGGCTCAGTTTTGAGGGTCAAGCAGGAACAGACAGAGCTGTGGGTTTCTTGTTATTATATACACATTCTTACACATTAGTACCACCCACAGGGTTTTGGAAAACAACAAATAAACACGTACAATACACTCAGACACTCCAACACAAAATCCTCCCCTCTGCCTGTGATACAATTACCTTATACAATGGATAATGTAATTATCACAGGCAGAGAAATACAGTTTTTCCACATTATTAATAATTTTAAAAGTATGCATCACATTTTCAGAATCAGCATACTCCAAATACAAACATACATCAAAATCATAAAAATTGGTCCAGTGGTTCAAAAGATAGATCGTAGTCCTTTGTGACCAAATAGAGCATGGCTTTTCTGCCCAAAACCAGTTCCACAGAGTCTTCTATCCTGGAGATAATTGGGAAGTAATCCAATTATCTCCAAGGACAGAAGCAAAACTCCATTGAACACATGGCAGCAAAAGACAATAAAATACATAAAAAGATATAACTGTAAAGCCATTGTATAAAATAGGTACATTCAACATATCCCCAGATAGCTCAGATCTGAGCGCACATTATTACTGAATAGCGCTCAGATCACACACATACAGTTCAATTGCCATGGAGCCAAAGTCTTTCCCATAGTCTTTCATTATACGAATGGGCTCCATGGCATAGCTATCTGGGGGTATCACCGCTTCAACAGGGCAAGCACCGAATGACCTGGCTTTCGTGTCTTTGCAGGAGAAAATCAAGCGTTTCAACATGGGGCCATAGTCTAAAGGCAGCAGGCAGGCAACCAGGCTCCTCCAATGCACAGTGGCGAGATTGGTCTCGTCACAATTCTCCTCTAGCTTTCTCTCACAAGCTGCTATGTGCTGACACAATTCTGCAGGATCTATGGCCCTGTCGTAATGTCAGGATTACAAGTTGATCCAGCATGCAGAACTGTGTCACACCTAGGACTAAGGATAACATATAACTGAACCTTAGAATGACCGGACTTAATGTTATCCAAGAATAGTCAAAATACTTGCCGAGGTCATGAACACAGAACTCGGGCACAATGATGAGGGAAAGCCAAAAGTCAAGGATACCAGAATTCAGGGAAGTCAAAACCAAGCCAAAGTCAAATCACCAGAAATCAAGATCAGGAACGCACTCTAGGATTACCATCAGGATGAAACTACGACAGGGCAATGAGCAAAAGGAGAATTGGGTTTAAATACCCCTCTTGTGGATCCGATTGACTGTAACTGGCCTTTGACCCCAAAAGCAATCACTAGGTTTCCATGTGCATGATTGCTGCTCAGTACAAACCCTCCTGTGGATATGATTGTCCATGACTGCCCTTTGACCCCAAAATCAATTACTAGGTTTCCATGTGCATGATTGCTGCTCGTCAAAACTTTTCCTGTCAGGATGGTAATGCTGCTCGGCACAACTTTTCCTGTCAGGACGGTAAATGCCATTAACC